ACTCGCGGGCCCCCCCGGCGTCAGCCACCCTCTACGCAGCCCCCCCCAACGGCGGGGGCTGTACTCACCGCTCCAGTTTTTGGCGATCTTGAACATGTTGGCAGCCCTGGTGTACATTTCACAGGCTTCCTCCACCCCGGTGTTGCCCCTGAAACGCAGCCCGAGAGCCCCTGACACCGTGCTGGAACGAACCGCTGCCCCCGGAACGGGGGCCGAGAGCTGAAACAGGGCTTGGGGTGCTGCAGCCCCATGTGCTCGGGCGACGTGGCCCCTGATTTTAAACTGCAGGGTGAGCATCACGCCGCTCAGAGAGGGGAAAGCTGGATTTGGGGGAGCGGCAGCCCCCCCGCCCTCGCCAGACCCTCTCCCAGGGGGTGCCAGCTCGTTACCTGCGCACAGCGGAGGTGGGGAGAAATTCGGCTAGCGCCAACGGGATCCCCCCCCCCAGCCCCACTGCGAACAGGGAGCAGGCGGAGCCGGCAGGCACCGACTAACCAAGCCCTTGCTAGAAAGGGGAGGCAGAGTTTTTCCACTGCATAAAGCGGGGACAGAAAAGCAGAGGGAAAACCCACTCCTGAAATGGCAGCTTAGGGGTTTGGCACGTTCCTGAAGAGCTTGGAGCCTGGAGCAAGCCCCCATCTGCTCTTTGACTTGGGTCCCTCCGTTTTGGGCGGGAGCGGCTGGCTTGCAGGAGTCTCATGAGACACTCAGCAAAAAACACCTGCAAAAAGCAAACTCTAGTACGCGACAAACTACTGCGTCATTTAGGGAAGATAAAGCAAGCCAAAAATGAGAGCGATGCTAGACAACTTGCTGCTGGCGTAACGAACGCAGGGGCGCGCTCCCCGGCTCCCAAGAAACGAACCTCAGCGGGCCAAGCCCTGGCACGCCGGCGGGTTTTCACCTCTGCATCTTCTGGTAGGGAACGCAAGCGAGGGAACAACTCAACACAAGCCGAACTGCTGGGGTTTAGCAGCGTAACTCGGCTCCCCGAACCGGCCGATTAATGATTCATTTATCTTGAGAGAGAAGTTAACTATTTTTGTTAATTAAATGCAGATGTCTTCACGGACTTACTCCTGCAAGGTCGCTACTGCCCTCTGTAGCGCACGCTCCTCCTGACCCCGGAAAGGGCTGGAGCGCAGGAGGTGAAAACATTTATTATTGCCGTTGGTTTTTTCCCTTCCTCCTTCTGGCAGACACCCACGTTTCGTTTCTAAGCACAGGCGGGGTTTTTTGGACCACTCTTTCTTGCTCCTGCAAGCCGCCTTTTGCGTGAACTAAAGCCAAAGGAGGTGGCGCGAGGCGACGCTACGCCCTGCGAGGCGTCCAAAATGGGGCGGTTTTCAGCCTTTTAAGTCTCCAAAAAAAAAAAACAAACGCCCCCAAAAAAAGAAGGAAAAGCGCTCGTGCAAGCTAATGGAGCTCTTCAGGAAAAAAGCCCGGCTATCAATAACGCTTTTGGCCAGGCACTCACCGTCCTTTCACCGGGAGGATGCCGAGAGCAAAGTCACCCACCACCTTTTCTTCCATTTTAAAAGCAATTTTTCTTGCATCTATTTTTAGCCCAAGAAAATGAGAAATTTGCCTCTCGAAATCTCTGCCGGTTCAACTCCTAGGATTTTCGGCAATTTGCTGCCCGGATTATGCCCCTGCCCGATTAATCTGCCAGAGGCTGGGGAGGAATTTATTTTTAAAACTTCTGCTCTCAGGGCTGCGGACGCTAGATTGTTCCAGGCCGTTGTTTAGAAACATCGAGGCCTCCATGGGAGCATCACTCCATAAACGCTCTTGTCTTAAAAATAAAAAAAAAAACACCCAAAAAGCCATGAAGAAGAAAGCTTGAGGTGGCCAAAACTGCTGGTTTTTCAAAACCCTTCCAGGCACAGCTCTTGCACCCCCAGGAGTATCTACTTTTGAACAGAAAGACCCAGTAAAAAGGAAGCTTTGCCGTTTTCTGAGGGTATCGCTCCCCCCGGCAACCCCATCCCTCCGGAGGGTCTCCGTGCCGTGAGCCAAGGCCTCGGTGCCGCGAGGGAACCACGGCTCTGCCGGGCAGAAAATCAGCTGCAAAACCCCGAGCCTGGTCCAAACCCTCCCTGGAGCTGCAAAAGGCCTCAAGGAGGGGGGGGGGGGCTTCGAGCCTCACCCCC